AAGGGGCGAGGGCAGGCGATGTCGTCGGACCAGGGGAGGACGACGAAGCGCTGGTGAACAGGGTGCGTCAGCGGTATACGCGGGATGGAATTGAGGCTGCGTCGAAGCTGTGGGTGCACGACCTCCTCTTTTGGAACGAAACGGAAGGGAACGGCATAGTGAAGTTGATACAGGAAGCGCGTCTGTATCTTGTTGCGGTGGCGCGGGGAGTGCAGCCTCCAGCCCTTCGTCGAAGCATCGTCTTGCCTCATGTCACCATCCCGCAGCACAAAATCGACAACGAATCGGAGTTGAACGCCGCGAAGGAGAGGGCGTTCAAGGTGCAGATCATCGCTTTGCGGGTGATCCACGGGTGGGTCTTCAAGTCGACGAGCAGGCAACGGGGGTACCACGCTGCGTACAAGTACGCGTTGAACCACGCGGCCACTGACATCGCTCACACGATCTGGATGGGTGAGGACTGGCGTATATGTGTGAGCCCCATGGTGTTCCACATTACGTTGGACATGGATATGAAGCTGCCATTGTGGTTCGTCAGCGCCGACATCGAAGACAGGCACGAGAACGACGAGTTGGTGGCGTATCAGGAGGTGAGCATCCAGCGACTGGTGGGGGCTTTCACGAACACCGTGAGCATGGCGAACGGGATCGACGAAGGTCGGGTGTCGCACGAAAGGTTGAAGAGCGTTGCCGACGCGATGAGGATCATGCTCGTGGCGACCATGTGGCTCATGCGAATGAGTGGGGACGATCATCGCGCGCATTACGACGCGTGGGTGTTTGTCCAACTGATAACAAAGTCGACGCTCATCTCATCCATGCATCGCTCATTCGACGCGCGACGCAATATCGTGCAAGCTGCGACCGTCATCACGGACAAGTTGGCCAAACCCCTCATGACTTTGGTAGCCCCTCCATTGTACATCCCGGACTGGGCGTCAATCGGCGTGAAGTTCTCACATGACGCCACGTTGTCATCCCCCATGGAGGCAAAGAAGCTTGATTAGTTGGGCACGGGACCCCCGGAAGACGAAGACGATGACAAAGCCGACGATGAAGGGAGCGGGGGGGGTTGATGACGCGTTCATGGCGCCCGTCCTCAATGTTGCCATCGCAGGGTGGGATAGAGTGGTTGTCGTATTTCCCGGAAAGACGGTGACGTGGGATGGGGGACACGCGAAGGGGAAGGGGTGTGGGGTTGGGGGGTTGGGGGCGTCGTGCATGTGCCTGTTCGTCGTGCTTGTTGTTTTCTCTCGCGCATTGCTGCTCTGCCGTCACTTGGTTCGACACTCCTCGACAATCGTCGTGCCGGAGTGCACATATGTCATGGAACTTAGTGGGAGAGGAGGGCGGGGGGGGCTTTCCTTTTGCGTTCGTCCCCCGCAGGCATGTGTCTTTCGTGTCATTGTACGGTCCGTAGTTAACACTTCAATTTCGTAGCCGGCGTCCTGTGCTGACCAACACGTGGGATGATCTTGGCACGGGGATGGAGGTTGTCGCCAACGAGTCTTTGCGGGTGGAGAGGGGAGAGATGGAAGAGGGGGGATGTGGTAGAGGGGGTGTGCTTGGTTCGGTTTCGTCTCAAACATGTTAAGGGAACTTAAGGGTATACGTTAGAGATGGGGGTGGGGGTGGGGACGATGGCGGGGGGAGGTGGGTTTGGTGATCGGTCATGGTAGTGGACGTTTCCGTGATGGTGATCATCACCGTCACGGGTCGGTTGTCATAGGGGTGTTTCATGAACCTTTCGTTTTCTTTAAAAATAAAATAAAAAAAATCAAACATGGCAAATCGTTGTTCGCATCTGTTAAAGCGAACATGTAATTGTGTTGATTGATATTGATGATGTCTACATCGTGTTGTCGCTTCCTTTTTATTCCGCTTTCATTTGCATTCACGAATGTTATGGTAAGGGGGACGTAACGGGGTCAGGGATGCTTGCTTGAACAAATGGTTGATGACAAAGTGAGGGATGTTCACACACGGCATTGCAAATGTGCGAAGCAAAGATGGGAATTCAAATAACATATAACAACGTCGTGCAATTCTGTACTTTTCATTCGTCGTGAAAGAAGAAGACAAGCCACGCAACATAAATAATTTATACGATATGTTGTTAGATTGTTGTGTCTCGTACAAAAAAACAGAAGACGACAATACACTTTGCAAAAAATAAAGGCCTTCAAGGCAACTTCAATCCCAAGTTTCGAAAAACAGAACACACATGATGAAGACTCGACCACGTCACCCACGGTGACACCATACTACACGACAACTACTATCGGCACATGCACGCACGTCACGTCGCCCCCGCCGACTACGCATTGGACTGCGCCATCGCCATCAACCCCAGGCTCCGACAACCTCCTGAACGGCGCGCAGTGCGAAACAATACCGAATGAAACTGCCGACACACGCCGTCTCGTGCACGGCAACCCACAACGAAACAGTCACCGCTGCTTCAACTCGCCATTTCTGGAAAACGGCCCCACACACACAACGACCCCAACTCAGACGACCACCCCTTCCAGGACAATACGCCTCCTACGTCGTCTGCTCCAATTTCTCGCCTGCTCCCTGCATCGCCCGCTCGATTTCTCGCCACAGCCACGTCATCGCAGTCGCCCGCTCTGCACGCCTGGCCGTGTTCACTGCGCACCCATTCTCTCCGCCAGTGCGTCCCGCAGAATGAGCGCATCCCCCGTCGACGACTCCATACACATCGACCTCAAGGGCCGCTGCATCCCAAGATCCACCCTGCGACACACACCATCCGGCCCGACCTCCCACAGTAGATTGTTGTCGAAGGGGATGCCCGCGTCGATGAGTATATCGTGCAGAATGCAAACGGCGACGAACTGTTGCGGCAATATCTCCATGTTCGTCTTGTGCGAGCAAAGGAACAACCTCCACATCCCCTTCAGTCTGCCGAAAGCCCTCTCAACCGCTCCCCTCGCCGTCTTCTGCTTGTTGTCGAAGCATAACTCCGACGGGTGCTGTGAGAAACCGCCGTAGGGGACAACTACCCATTCGGAGGGGGGATAATCATTGTCGCCCAGCAGATACCCGTTCATCTGCACACCGAAAGACAACATAACAAGTGGCCTTGTGAAAAGCTCCCCTGCCTCAACGCGCGCCCATAAACTCGACAGGTGCACGATCCTCACGCCGTGGCAACTTCCCGGATAACCGACAAACACATCCAGCACGCGCAAGTTCAGATCGACAACGACCTGCGCCTGGATAGAGAAATGCCCTTTTCTATCGTAGTAGTCCTCCCCGGGGCAATTTGTTGGTTTGTGGATGAAGATATGGGTGCGGTCGATGCACCCATGGCAGTCAGGGAAAACCTTGTCAGTGAAAGCGTGCACGACGACCGCCTTTTGCAGCCCCGTCGGCCAGGATATCTTGTCGGGGTACGCACTCAGCAACGCTGCAGTCACATCCCGCACAGCCACCAACCCGGAAGATCTGCCAATGCCGAAGCTGCATGTCCCACTCTCGTACGCAGCCCCATCGGCCAGGATATCTTGTCGGGGTACGCACTCAGCAACGCCGCAATTACATCCCGCACAGCCACCAACCCGGAAGATCTGCCAATGTCGAAGCTGCATGTCCCGCTCTAGTACGTCTCCCCCAATGCCCACCTGTACAAAGTGTACACGACGATGTGGTCAGCTGGAGGGGCTCCCTATAGAAAGTGACACGCCTTTCAAGGAAGGGAGACAAAGCTTCCGTGATCTCTCGGAACACACGTGGCGACATGTGCAGCTTGTCCTTGAAGTAGTCCGCCGTCTCGTCGTTGCATTGCCGCAGATCCTCCCACGTTCCGCCTGTCCATCGCTTCATCCACCACCTGGGCGTCGCTCTGGGAAATGCTCCACACCCCATGGCGTAGCACACCTGCAGCATGACGTCGCCAATGGCACCACTGTCCTCTCCCTCCACATTCATGGACTGCAGCGTCCTCTTCCGCCGTGCGCGAATGGCCACTCTCATCCTCCCCTCGCTCCTCTGCAATTGACACCGGAAGAGTATGGCGTTCACGGCCGCTGCCACCGCCGTCCTCTCCGCCTTGCTCAGTGTGTCACGGCCCGCCTCCCCGTTCATGGCCATCGCCGAAACTGGTACTGTCGACGTGGGCGTCGCCAAGTGCAGAAGACTCCACGTGTGCCGGGCCGCACAACAGCGATGCTGCGAGTGAAGACCGGAGTGCACAGCGTACACGTCGACGACGAAGGTGCGCCTGCGAAGACGACAACGATGGCGATCGTGTGACGACATGTCTGCTGCTTCGGACGCGTACATGTACGTTCACCGTGCCCACCAACACGCAGCCGCCACCCCGTACCGAAACGCTTCCACCGAGGAACGTTGCTGCCGTCAGCCGCAAGGGACGCCCACGCCGCCGTCAGTCGCTTGCGGAAATTCGAATTTCGAATTTTGAACCCGGGACTGCGCGGCTTTTTCGTGCCATTTTTTTTTTTTCCGCCGCCAACTTTTGAATTCGCGACGCCCGCCTGAGCTGGACCAACGATGTCGGCACGGACACACCTTGCTGGACCAACCTCCTCTCCCCCCCCGCGTCCGCTTGTCGATATATGAAGCTGGCCCCGGAAGGCCCCGAGGAATCGTCCTCGGGGAACAATTCCGAGGATGAGTAGAACGACGGCGCGAATTTCCTCGGGCGACGACGGGAGAATTTCCTCGGGCCCCGAGGACGGCCCGAGGAGTGTCGAACGAGCCCCTTTGCCATTTTGAGTGCCCAGTGTGAGTATGCCCTTTTTTTTCTTTTACTTTTTTTTTTTTGAAAGACTTCCCCGGCCAGTGCTAGGGGTGCTCATAAGAGCTGGTGCCACTAGCACTCCCGCGGAGGCTCCATCTATTGGTGGGCACCACCACCTGCTGGAGTATGCCATAATTGTGCTCTGGAAGGAAAGAGGTTCTTCTGTGAACTGTTGGTCCTGGGTTCGGCTGGGGCCGTAAGCTAAACTCGCTCAAGCTGCCAGGATAAACTCGGGGTAGAATTGTGAGGACCCTGCGGCCTCATTTCAATTGATGTTGGAATAATGAATGTGCTTTTGGGGGAAAAAAAATATATATATATATATCGTCAAATAGAACATATATATATATATATATATATATATATATATATATATATATTTTATATATATATATACAGGGTTGCCGGCGTTCGGGACGGGCCGAACGCCCGAACCCGAACGCCCGAACGTTCGGCACCCCCTCTCGACGCGTTCGGGCGTTCGGCGGAACGCGGACCCAAAAAAAAGAAAAAAACAAAAAAAAAAACTCTGAAAAAAACATATGTTATGCAGAAGAATAAACTAAACAACATTTACCTCAACGTTACATCCAAATTCTTTACCAAACTTGAAATAAGAAATGCAATACTAAAAATAAATAATAATAATGACAATTAGAAAAAATAAAACGAGAACGAAATTATTGAGTGGGCGAGCACGTTTTTCACACCGCCATCTTTGGCGATTTTTCATTTTTTTTTGGCTATGAAAAATGCCATGAAATTTTATATATGTGTATATTACATAATAGAGAATCTACAAATAAAGTTTGAAAAAACAATAATTTTGTTCGTGCCCCGAAATAAAGGAAAAACAAAAAGTGAAAAGAGAGAAAAAACAATTAGTGATTGGGCAAGCAAGTTTTGACACCACCATCTTTGCCGATTTATCATTATTTTTTGACTCAGCAGAATGGCTTCAAAATTTAGAGGGAGGTACCTTACATCCCAAAGAACTGACAAAAAAAATTCAGAAAAAAATAACAATATTTAGGTGCGAAAACATTTTTTGGCGGGGTCCGAACCCCTTCAGGTTCGGGCCCCGTACGGGGACCCGAACGCCCGAACGTTCGGGGGTCAGCTTAGGGGCCTCCGTACGTTCGGTCTGGCAACCCTGTATATATATATACAAAGCTTTTTCTAGTGGTGAAATAAACAAAAAACATAACCCTGTTAACCAATCCACTGTAGTTCCTAAGCAATGATTCATGGGACCTGGCTTTCCGTTTGGTCACGCCCCGACAACCACGTGCTGTTAGCACCAGTTTTTTTTTTTTTTTTTTTTTTGGGGGGGGGGGGGG